CATTGTGATATGCTTGAACTGTTTTATATCTATAGATTTTATTTTAGGCAAGTCGTGATGATTTGAGAAGGCTATGACCAAACATAGGCTATGATCAACTCATTGTCTGCCGCTGGCCACTTGGTCGTTACTTTAAAAAACAAAAACTTATATTTAACGAACAAAAAATGCTCCAAACATTTTTCTAAATTGACTTTATAAAAAAACGAAACGAAATATAATCACTTTTCCTTTACATACAAAACTGAACTATTTTAATAGCTGAAACAGTAGTATAAGCTGTTTTGGGAGAAGGGGAAAAAAGACGGGCTTGGGCCTATATTTGAGGCCCGTGCTGGACTCTAATCCACTTCATCCAACGCTGTTTTCTTCTCTGTCGTTTTCATTACCCTCGGAAGAAATCCTGCAGGCGCCCCTGCTGTCAGTTACTTTACAGAAATAAATAAATCTGCCAAATTGCATTACTGTATTGGGCTATTGGTAGTATCCTTATTTGTTATAGCAGTTTCTTAGTCTTCTAACAAAAGACTTCTCTACCTCCCCTAGACAGTCGTCTCTCAGTTCTGCACAAATACAGTACATACTTGGCTACAAATAAATTCAACAGTAATGAGTTTGAGGGTGTATAACATGTGCTAGAGTATTTACTGTACATAGAATAATGACAGTTCTCTCATCTGCAGTACGGCTGCTATGTACTGTAATTATATTGTATGTGTAAGTAGTATTGAAACCCTGTAGATTAGCCAACTTCCCTCAGGGTCAGTCCATGCAGAAGACAGTAATGAGTTTGAGGGAGTATAACATGTGCTAGAGTATTTACTGTACATAGAATAATTAACGTTCTCTCATCTGAAGTACTGCTGCTATGTACTGTAATTATATTGTATCTTTTGTGTAAATTGTGTAAATAGTACTGAAACCCTGTAGATGAGCTGTAGGCTAACTTCCCTCACGGTCAGTCCATGTAGAAGAACATGCTCAACTATAGTGCTTTGTATTTCATCAGGAACAAATGACCTTTGACCTCATCACCTTCATTTTTATTTTCCCCCCAATTCTTCTTTGTCTCCCACTACCAGGATTCATTTTCCAAAACTCATAATCAGCTGTGCTCTTGTTCATATGATCCTGAGATTCTGACCTGTGTCATCAGTTTTGCTGCTGAATGTTCACACATGGATAAATGTGTGCTGTTTGAGTTCATTTGTTGATGCTTGAGTTAATTACATTGTGTGTTTGTGTTTTCTGAATGAGAACATGGTTAAACCTGTGCCAAATTATGGCATTTTTGTGTAGAGTTTTGCAGAAAACACTGAGCAAATTGGAACGTGTGTGCAAACAGGTGAAATGTGTTAAAAGTTTTGAGAAACATGTCTTTGTTTCGAGAACTGTATGAATGGTTTGGAAAATTGGGCCAAATGAATCATTTATAGTGTGTTAGCAATCGAGAAAAACTGTAATAGTAAGGTGAGATCAGCAGGAAAGCAGGCCTCTGATTGGTCCGTTCTGTGTGCAGTGTGTCCACAGTGGGCCTGTTTCCACGTCGGTGTCTGACCTGTGAGCTCAATAAAGCTCACTGCACGTTCTTCAGTGCTGATTTCAGCCCCACTAATCAACACGTCCTGCTGCACTGCAAAGGTATGAAGACCGTTTATTATGTACTCTCACAGACCTGACAAGTGGCCTTTCACCCCTCGTCAAACTAGCACAGGTTGTGGTTGAAGTGTTTGGTTTTCCTGCAGGTCCAGGAGCGCCGACAGAGATCATACACACTCTGAACACGGCCAGTGAGTCATTCTTTTCATTAATTCTTCTGTACGTCTGTCCACCATGTTCTGCGTTAAAATCTCAAGTCATGTCTTGATGTGTTGATCTCTCGTCAGATTATTATATCCTGGAGAATAACTCTGTGCTGAGAGCTGCTCTCAGATACAAACGCATCCAGTTGCTGGAGTACAGAAGCATCCAGACCGACCACTTCGGTAATGTACTGCTCCGTTCACCCAATAAACACGCTTAGTTAGTGCTGGATCTCCTGCACTGAAACAGACTTTAATGCCCTTGAAGATATTTGATAGATCTTTGGTCTGCTCTCCATGTGTTTTTTCAGAATTGCCGCTGAATAGAATATACGGTCTGTACAGTAGAAAAACCATTACGCCTATGGAGAGTCCCCCATAAACCATAAAAACAAACCTGTGTGTGTGTGTGTGAGTGTGAGTGAGTGAGTAAGTGTGTGTGTGTGTGTGTGTGTGTGTGTGTTTGTGTTCATGTCTGTTAAAGATGGAGGGAGTTTGTAGTTAGAAAGACAGCAGTTCAAAGTGTTCATTTGCAGTCTGATGTTCACATTAATATGTTGCTGGTTTTCAGGTTTGTTATATTTTGTTTGGAGGCCTGGAGAGAAATACACCATATGACTGGAGCATTACAAAATTGCTCTGTTTTGCTCGAACATAAAAGTCAGTGAAGGACTCGGTCTCAAGCAGACATTGTCCTTCATCCGGATCACTGAAGTCAGAATCTCCTTCACTGCGTCCTGACCTTTACTCATTCTCTGCATGTCACACCATTTATAAGCTTGAAATAAAGCAACTGAACGTTTCATAGACATTTCCAGGAGCACCTGCAGTATTTCTGTCTTTGATTTCCTCCACTGAATCAGCTGAACGGTACACTGAGACTCTGATGGTTTGGGTCTTTTAGAATAAATAACAGATGGTGCTATACAGCAGTGATGCAAAGATTTTGATTGGTTGTTTGCCCTAAACAAAAATATCAGTTGCAAGTAAAAAGAAGTATCTTTGAATTCTGCCATGATGTCATGTTTTTTGGAAATGTTTGTGGACTACTTTCACAAATACCTCTATGCTTTACTTACAGTGGATAGAGGTTTTGTTCGTCTGGTACTGTTAGATCTGTCATTTGCATTAGTTCATGGGGTGTTTGAGTAGTTTTGATTTAAAACCCTGTGATGTGCAGATAAGGAGGATTTGTAAAGTGAAATGTCCACTGAACGACTCTTTGTGAGTAGAAATGGTGTCACACACGTTTCTCAGGCTGAATTTGAAAGGTGCTGTAAACACACTTGACCAGATCCAGGAGAGGCACATTATTTTATATCAGAGGTAGATCATGAAGGCTAGAAGAAGGAAGTGATGATACGCTGATGTGTTTCATCTGTGTGTCAGTGATGCTGGTCAGCAGGTGAAAGAGCAGTCCTGGACCAGGACTCAGTGTTTATCAGGTTTTTCTCTGTGTTTATCAGTGACGCTGCCCCCGGTGGTCAGCAGGTGAATGACCGTTACTCACTGGACTGGGACTCAGTGCTGGTCAGTTCAGATAATGTCATCGTAGCTCGCCTGGACGGCAGGGGAAGTGGCTTCCAGGGTCAGAAGGTGTTACAGGAAGTGCACAGGCGTCTGGGATCCGTGGAGCTGCAGGATCAGCTGGCCGCCGTTGAGTAAGAACCTTTACCTGCTTTTTTCCTTCTATCATTTGCTCAGAAATGACACTTCTGTCACTCTCATGCTCTGTTTGGGTGATCTACACACACACGGTTGTGAAACATGCTAACGGAGTCGTGCTTTTCTTCCAGGTACCTGCTGAAATTGCCGTACATCGATCGAACCCGGATTGGTGTGTTTGGCCGGGTAAGACTCAATCTCACACTCGGCTGGAAGACAGAAGAAACACTGATGAAAACCGTCAGGTATATAAACCTGTGTGTTTGTGTTGTTCTGCAGGGTTATGGAGGATATGTCGCACTCCTGCTGATTAAATCCACGGAGAACGTGTTTAAATGCGCAGCAGCCATGTCGCCTGTGACAGACTGGAGTCTGTACGGTAAGTTACTGGTGTGATTGTGATTATGTGAGGCTTCACACTGATGTGTATCTAGAACCGCAGAGCAGTTTCAGACCCGTGATTCTGCTGTTCTGTGAGTGAATCTGACCTCTCTTTCTCTCGCAGCCTCGGCCTTCTCTGAACGCTATCTGGGTTTCCCTCTTCAGGACGACAGCAGATATCAGGTTGGTGCTGGTTAGTTGTTTTGGGCTCAGACTCTGCTGGAATGTTTGAGATGTTAGTGACAGACTGTGTGTCTCTAGTTCTCCAGTGTGCTGCAGAATCCACAGGGTTTCAGAGAGCAGACGCTCATGCTGCTGCACGCCACTGCAGATGGTCAGTTACACCGGAGTGTGTGTGAGTGTGTGTGTGTGTGTGTGTGTGTGTGTGTGTGAG